GACAATAGAAAAGTGGGTGAAGGGAGACTTTGGACAAGTCAAGATATGACAAAATAACAATTTATAAATTATCAAGGGTTCGTGAGGGAGGGGGAGTGGGATGAGGACCTGATGCCAGGGGCTTAAGTGGAGAGCAAATGTTTTGAGAATGATAAGGGCAATGAATGTACAAATGTGCTTTACACCATTGATGTTATGTATGGATTGTGATGAGTTGTATGAGCACCTAATAAAACCAATAAAAAAATTTTACCCTCAGACGAACACACACATTCCAGCAATATCTGAGATATTTTCATTCCAATCACTCAAAATGCACATTGGCAAAAGATCTCACCCAAAGATTTAATTCGGTCACTTCTCAGTTGATCCCAGACCTTACCTGGTCCTCATCACTGTGATAAATCGTTACATCTCATAACCTGTGTATCACATGCCCTTCAAAAATACACTAGGGGAGATTATTAGGGAAAATATGACATGGATAAAGGGTATAGCATCTTAGAGCAGGCAAGGATGGTGAGACTTTGTGCGGAGTATGTTGAACATGTCAGGAGAGGTCAGTCCCTGGAGAAGGGCATTATGCTTGGTATTGGTAATGTAGACGGGCAGCAAAAAAAAAACATGCACTGATAGAATATAACAATGGATTCAAACATAAGAATAATTGGAGGGTGGCCCAGGAACTGGATTTTTTTTTTCTTTTTCTGTTATGCATGGTGCTTGGCACCTAACAAAAAACCAAGAAAGGCTTTTTGGTTTTGAACTACAGAGCACTTGGACAGAAGCAATACTGGTCAGCACAGAGATGGACATTAAACCCAGCACCTGCATTACATGTTTATATCATTACTTTTAGCGGGAGGGAGAAACGCTCACATTTTTCCCTTCACTAGTTCCACAGTTGGTAGGAGTATATCAGAAAATGCTGTTTCTACACATTGTAAAGAATTATGGCATAACTGCCTTGCGAAGTGTATTGATAGAAAAAAGTACCTCACAAATTATTTTCTCCCTTTTTAATACTAAAGATGCTTGCCTGCTTTCTTCCCACTGTCCAATTTACTTCCCCGACAGAGACAGGTTACCAGGAGAGCCCAGATCCTGGAGAAGGACATCATGATCGATAGGGCTAAGGGAAACAGAGGAACACCAGGAAGTGAATGGACTGACACTGTGACTGCAACAAGGTCAAGCCTAACGATTGTGCAGATGGCACAGGAGCTAGCAGTGTCTCGTTCTGTTGTACAAGGTCCACTGTTCAGCACCTGACAACCTCGGCTCTCTCCAGTCTCCCAAACTCAGCCTGCCCAGGTGTCAATGGTCGCCACTGTTTCTTCCCAGAAAGACCTTGTATAGTACTCCGAGGGCCCCGTGTTCCGGGTGCTAGCCTCTGCTCTGCCCCCAAGGTCAGACTCGCCCTCCACTGGGAATAATCCGCTCTTCCGAATACAAAGGGG